AACTCAAATAAAACTGACAATGATCTGTAACATGAATTTGCAAGGATAAAAATACAAGTTGATAAATTTTATACAAGTTAAAATTTATTTGTGGTTGCCCGAATGAGATAGGGACCAGTTTTAAGTTTATGTAAATGCCATCAATTGTTTTCTTTCTGTCTAGAGACCTGCTCCTTTGACCTTGTGATCTCTAACGTCTGTTCTGATCTGAAATAAAACAGTGCAGTAAGATTTCGATTTGATGCCTAACAGTTGAACTAAAAATACAACTTATTTACAATCTTTTGATATTCCAAACATACGACTTCAACATAAAATAGCAAACAGTGGTCGCAGCTGATCTTTTTTTTATATGTTTTGGTTAGGGGCTGATCTAGGATTTTCTCGAGGGCGGGAGGGGGGTGGGGTTAATTGAAAAAAAAATCAAAATTCTCTCGACCTTTTTTGGCTCGACCAAACTGATTTTCACCAAAAAATTGCGTTTTTCCGCACCCCCCCCCCTAATTTTGCTGCTGATATTGGTTGAAAATTGTTACTTTGGACGGTTTGAATTTAAAGTCAGCTTGGATTCAAAATAAATCATTTATCAAAAAATTGAACGGGATTCAGTAACTCAAAACTGTTATGTGACGTTGTAAACCCATTCATGAGTTTTTGATACCTAAATGTTTAAAACCCAATGTAAAATCATTTGAATTGAGAAACTAAAAACTGGGCACTCTCATTAAAGCTCTCAATTTACCATCCCACTAATTGTTTCGCTTTTCACTGATAGTTTGTTCATGTTTATACTTGGGGTAGTTTTGCTTCCAGCGAACTTCAATTTTATAATTAACCGTGCTCTAGCATCTAAAATCTGTCGCCCTGAAAGGAACATAAGCCAAGCCATCTCATTTCAATAGAAAAAGAAGTATTCTAAGCAAACTGCAGGCTAATTGGTCGGCCCAATAAATTACCTGCGTGTTTTATCCCAGGTCGAGTCATCTTGAAAATCCTGCCACAATCTTCAAGAAACTTGGAGTTTTATCAAAATAGACAAATAACTTTTTCGATTGTTTGGTATGTAATAACCCGCATCCAAAATTAGGTGTAAGTAATCGATTGTAACGGATTATTACGATGATTTTTTGACAATTACAAATGATTATAATTACCAAAATTAGGTGTTTAAAGGATTTATAATTGATTATAATCGTGATATATTCCATCGCTTATAATCGATTATAATTGAATATAGTTCTTACAAAAAACCCTTAAAAACATTTATAAGCAATTATAATCGATTATAATCTCCTATTCTGCCAAAATTCTGTCAATTCAAAATAACATTCGAATTATATCTTATGGGTTATTAATTTTGGGTCAAAAAGAAAATATCTAGAAAAGAGATCTCTTGAAAACTTTGGTTCATCTGAACACAATGTTTTACCACTGAGCAAAAGTTTCATAGAGATCCTTTTAAAATAGTGGAAAGGTTCCCGCGGTAGATGAAAAATGAAACTTCCGAATCAATCATGAAACTAAATCAATTTGATGATGTTTTGTTGGTTAAAAAAGCTTAAGATCTGCATCAAAAAACAACTCTAATGGGGAAGAAATGAAAAAAAACTAATATTTTTGAATTGATTGGAAAACTTTAAAAGTATTTTTCTCATTTTTCATAGAAACCAATGTCCACAAAAAGCATAAAATATAAACTATTTAGATGCAACTTCGAAGACAAAAATGGACAAACAAAAGGGATTATAATCAATTATAATCGATTATAATGGATTGTTGTCCAAAACTAATGAAATAGAAATATGAATAAAAATAATGGATTATAATCAATTATAATCGATTATAATGGTATCGAAAAAATGACGAATAAATAATCGATTATAATGCATTAACATTACTTATAATTTGAATTAAAAAAGAGAGATTATAACCGATTAATAATTGATTAAAATCGATTTTTTCTCAATTTTAGTAAGACTGGTACAAAAATCGTAATATAATCGATTATTAACGCTTGAAACGGGATGCGGGAAGGCTTTAAACAAAAACTACTTCCTCAGGAGATTATCCGATGGCTTTGCAGCTCACCAAGTGAGTTTGAAATTGACTAAAATCTTGAAAATTTTAGAGAGTTCAAAAAATGTAGCATGAAAAGATTTGAAACAAATTTTTACAAATTATGAAAATAGAAATGTTTTAGCGTATCAGAGGTACGAGCAAAATCATCTAATTCAAAATCTAGAAGAATGAATCAAGAACACGAAATTCTGACTCTTATCAACCATTTTGCTTCATTAATTTTCTATAGTCTTTTTCAGATATCAAGATTTATATTATATTTTAGGAATTCAGTTACATCTGATTTAAGTTTTTGTGAAATCAAAAATTTTTAACAAGAGAAACAGCGTAAAATTGGCGAAAAAAGTATTGATTTTTTTGCTTTTTCAAACTTAAAGTAATTCCATTTTTGTGTATATTGACTTGACGCGCGTACTGTTGGAACACAAGTTTAGAAAAACTTGTCTCTAAAAACCACATCAGCGACCACAATTTCTTATGCTCAGGTCTTTAAAAATTCTGTTTGTTCAGGTCTTTAAAACTCAAATTATGGTAGCAACTTTTCGTTTTGTAGCTAAAAAAATTTGATTCATCTTTAAAACTTGTTTTTAAGCGCTCGCAAACCCTGGCTTAAAGTTTTTAGCATTTTTTGTTATTTATCTTCAAAATTTTATGTAACTTTTGAAGCGATCTTCGCCGGTCTTGAAAATTCATGACAGGATCTTGCAAGTTTTTCAAAAAAAAGTTCTTCGAAATTTTTCACAGCTTCACCAAGATTTGAAAAGGATTGCAAAAGATGCTGGTTCTGGGATGCATGTAGCTAAATCTGATCTGCCAATGTTCGCGCTACAAAATCAAGCATTTCAAGTAACATTTCAAGCAGATTAAAAACGACAGGTTTTTCTGTACAAAATGTGCGTTTCAAAAACTTCAAAAAATATTTTGATTCACATTTCTGGCTGTTCGTATTTAACTCAAATTCTATTTTAAGGGGCCAGAAATCAAAGTATTCATTTCAAATTCACTATGAATATTGGAATATTGATTTGACTTGTTCAAAACGTGGTAAATCAATAACTTTGATTTTTGGAAAGCAAATAAACCTAAATTATTTGTGCTAGTGAATCTTTTGGTTCATTTAACGCAGAGTTAAAATATCTCCAATTTGGAAGGAAAGTCAGTCCAATAGTTCCCCGCACTGACAAAAATGGTTTCGGATCGATTTAAATTGAATTTGAATCAGTTTTAAATCGATCCAAACCAAATATCATTGTACATTTTACGAACTTGAATGGATTTAAATCGATCTTTTTGAAAATTTTAAATCAATTTAAGTGTCTAAAAAATCGATTTAAATAGATTTGGATGGATTTTCCGACATAGTAAAATCGATTTTTTTGCTAACAAGGCAAAAAAACATGCTATTTAGAAAACTAACTGAAATAGTTTATTTTTGATTTTTAAATAAAAACACGCGTGCCAGATGTTTTAGAATTCCAGAAGTAAATAAAAAATGTTAATATAAACCAGATTTAGAGCTCATAAATATGCAATGAAGTCATAGAAAAACAACATTGTAAAACGGATCTTGGGCAAAAATCTGTGTAACGAATGAAGAAATTAGTCAATATAAATCAGATTTTGAGCTCAAACATATGCAATAAAATTTTTAAAAAACTGTCAATAAAAATCAGATATTGGGCGAAAATCAATGTATTAAATAGAGAAAAAATTCGCTAAAAACTAATAGTTTTTTTGTCTAAATATGGTGGGGGAAGACCTAAGGCATGCATTTTGTTGTTTTTTTTTTAATTCTGAAAACAACGAAAATGCATGTCATAGGTCTTCCCCCACAATATATAGACAATGCTTCTCAGACAAAACACCACTAAGAGGGTGGTGTTTTTTATTATTATGAGACAATGCTTTTGGCACCGAATCCTTTTTCAGGAATTTTGATAAAACGAGAAAGCTGAAAAATAGACAAAGCAAAAAGATAACAAGTACCGAGGTGAAATGCGCTTAATACCACCGTGACTTCAAAGGCTAAGGAAGCATCCAATACGCACCCAGGAAAAAATTTATGAGGGGGGGGGTGAATGGGGGGGGTGGTTGATCTTGTTTTTCAAGCAACTCAGTCAAATTTGGTATCTGTAAGGACTCGTAACAAAACTTTTCATTTTTTTTCGGTCATTCGAAAATTTGAAGAAAAAAAAAGAAGTTAAAAAAATCAATTTAGATCGATTTCATTTCAGGTCAGATTTAAGATCGATTTGAATCGATTGAAAATCGACTGGAATCGATCTTTTTAGCGTTGAATTTAAATTGATTTGAATAGATTTAAAATCGATCCAAATCGATCTGAATTTTTTTTTGATTAACTTATTTTTTTTACAACTTAAATCGACTTCAATTTAATCTGCATACTTTTTTCATACCAAAATCGATCTAAATCCATTTTTGTCAAAGCGAGTCCTCCCTTTCACGGGAGAAGGGGGGGTTGTGGTTCAAAGTACATTGCTCGCATCTGCTTAGCTTTTTAAATACTTCTGCAGAAGGTGGTGGTGGAGATCCTTTTTTGGGTGTAGCATGCAGTGTGTAGTGTATGTGTGTGGGGCGGGTTGCTGATTGTAGTTCATGGCTACACCGAGGTAGGTTTCGTTTCAGAAGAGAGATTCGAGACAACTTTGAGCTCTCAGACTGAAATTTTTTGTCGGAAAATAGTACCGAGTTTCTAATGGTTATTAGTGTTTAGAATTTATTTGGACAAAAAGGCCCCCCCCCTCCCACTCCTTCCCGGCCTAATCAATCCGCGCCCATTGAATCAATGTCGCTTGCTGCCAGAAAAACAGACATTCTCGACAGAAACATTTCCAACTCATGGTCAAGAACTTTGCTCAAGTGCCAGAATTTACAAAAAAGTTTGTATATATAAGCTGTTTTAACAAACATAAATCATCATTAAGCGAATTAAAAAATTTATTTAAAATTAAATTGAACTGATCATCTGAACTATCAAACCCTTCCTCATACTATTGCATATAAAATACCCGGGTTGACATCCCTGGACTAAAACGCTTGGCATACAGTTCCATAGATTGAATCTGCGGTAAAAATGCAAGTGATGTTATTATTATTGCAACAACTTTTGCGATAATTTCCTCGTGCAATAAACTTTTTGATTTATGAAGCATGATAATTGCATTTTTGTCAACCCGGTAGGTTTCAATTTTTAAAATCACTTGGAAATGAGTTTGTAAAAACGATTAGTTCACGCTTTCTTCTCTATTATGTTATGATACGCCCTGTTAGGTAGTTGCCGCCGTACTACGCCCGTTAAGCCCTTTCTTGCCGAAAATGGTGTTGTTTTTCCTCACTGAAGTCAAGACTGCGTTATGCTTCCTGCGAGGTTTCCTACATTTCAAGATATCAATAAACGTATTTCTAAATGTCTCATTCGCAACTCCATAACAAATTGGGTTCAAGGTCGAGTTCAGATAACACAACCAGTAGAAAAAGGTCCAGACGAAAGGTGTCACATTCAGCCCGAATGCCTGAAGAATAACTAGAACGTTATAAGGAGTCCAAGTGAGAATAAAAGCAGCCGCTATCAGACTGAGCACTCGGGCAGCCTTTCGATCCCCGCTCGGCCCACCTCGTCGTCCGCACATGCCAGATATCGCATAAGCTCCAGATTTGTTGATTCTGAGAAAAAAAATTGTTAAAATTTTTTTGATATCCTCTGGCTGATAAATTACATGTTTTTTTATTTGAATGACTAGTTGAAAGTTTGACGATTTTTCGATGTTTATAACAAGCCTAATTTTGTACAGAGGTCAATCAATTTTTGTGTTAGCTTGTTTGGGAATTCTGAAAGAATTCTTTTGTTATCTGAAACGCAATTTTAGAGTCCTATTTAGAGATACTCATTTATAAAGATGTAAATGGAAACATTAAAATATATTTATAAATCAAGACCGAAAAAAATTGATCTAAGATTCGTTCGATGGAGGAATAAAATTTGAGTTGAAACTCCTCAGAGGTTATTTTGGGTCTTAAAATTGCTTTTTTTATCATCAACGTTAATTATTCTAAGGGGCGTGAACGAGTTATTATAAAATTGAAAAAAAACCTTGTTCCATAATTAGAGAGAGAACTGCACGGAAAACGAATTCAATGATTGAAGTGAACTAATTCACGCCCGCAGAAAAACTAAACGAAGATGGAAAAAGAAATTTCCAGATCTAAAAATAACCAGTGAGCAGCGTGGCCTTTTTTCCTTATATGACCGCATCTATGTATCTAACCAACCATACTACCCTCTATATTAAAAAAAACTTAGAAAAAAGTCATCATTTGTCTAATAATTCTTTTTTTGAGGCGAATTAACATAGTCACTTAAGTCTGCGGGATTTTAAAGTCCGTTTTTTTAAAATAAAATACTTGTGGGAATTTAACAGTAAAGTGCCACAAATTCTAACTGAAATATTAGTTCTTCGCAAAATGAAGTTCCGCAGGAGAGAAAATTCCAGGCGAACAACCAAGACTAGATAACTCTTTTAATATTTCGTTTTTTGTATTGTTATACTAATTTAAGGGACAAAATTAAAAGACAATTTTTTTTCTGTTTCAAACACCCTAACTTCAAAGGAAAATTCGGAGTGCATTTATTTATAATTTCAACGAAATTTGTACTTTGATAGTTAGAAAATCTTGGCAGCAACTCATTAATTGGTTTTTACACTAGCCGGCAAAATTAACGCAAAATTGGTAAAAGTCTTAGCTAAGTTTTTACATAGAGCAAGAGCTACCCTCTATGAAACTATTTAAGTCTGGTATCAGAGACTTACCAATGAAATTCGGGTCTGACAATGCCAGATTTCTTCATCTGCCCAGGTTTTGCATGGAAGTGAAAACTTTCTCGAATAAGCGGAGCAAAAAAATGTTCATGCGACATGAAACATTCTCAGCGAGAAAATTGAAATAATCAAAGTGGAAACTTTACAAGTCTCGACTTTTTTTGCTTTTTCACTCGAAGTGAAAAATTTAGCGCAGATTAAAAAATCTGGCACTTTTAGACCCGGATAATTCGAATAGCATAAAAAGTTTAAAAAACCAATTTTACTTAAGTTTTCACACTGGTTGTTTCAATTTTCTCACTGAAATTGTTTCACGTAGCATGGAAAAAATTTTTTTGTTATGCTTATTCAACAAAGACTTCATTTCGATGCAAAAATTAGTGCAGATGTGTAAAATCTGGCATTTCCAGGCCCGGATTATAGTAGTAAGTTAAGTATGAAAAGAAATTATATTTATATATATAATAAATTTTCTTCATAATAATAATAAATATATACTAATATATATATATATGAATATGTAAATTCAATTTGGTCTACATAACCTAGGTTTTCGAAACTTAAATTTGCATTTTTTTTTACCACTAGTGCGCAGTGTTCGAATTAGTTTTTCCACAACAAGTTGAAGTTTTGCTTACAACCATCGCGTTTTTATTAAATAAATGCTTCTTCAGAATTCGAATTTATTTTAAATATTTATTTCAATTTTTGTTCAAACCTCACATGAGAAATTCATTTCTTTTTAAGTTTCAAATAGGAAAGATACACCTATTAGAGCCCTTTATAATTGCAATTTCACACTATCTTGATTGCAGTCTCGTTGCTTCCACAAAATGAGCTCCTGGGTTGACCTCCATACACCGAAAATGCTTATCATACAATTCCATACATCAAGTGTGTGGGAAAATGTTTGTCATACAATTTTCATACAATTTCTAAAAATGGTTGAAAACTGGTATAAACTCATTTCTGTGGCCGTTTGATTCTAATAAAACAATCTGGTGATAAAAAACTGGTTTTCGTTTTTTGAAAAAAATGCTTATCATACAATTCCCATATATGGAAATTGTATGACTGGCATTTTTTTGGTGGCGACACAAAAACATTTTCAAGTAATTTTGAAAATTTAGCCCAAAAATTTTTTGTTTTTTTTTTTCAACCGCAAATCGATTTTCGCACGCAAACAAACATTTTTCGAAAAAAAAATTTTGCATGCAAAATTTAATATTTTGTGTGCATAACGTAGTCCTGGATACGATAAAATTGGCTTTTATTTTCTTTTCACTTGATTTTTTAATCAAAAACGCTGAAAAGTCCTCTTTCTTTTGTATGGGGTGTTAATGTACGCCTTGATCATTGTCTGATAATTTGGAAATTCAAAAATTCAATATAATCATCATTTAAAAATTTTGCCGGAAAAAAAAAGTTTGTTACTTTTTTTATATAAATTGTGAAAGACAGCCATAATCAGGTCGTTTTCTATGCATTGTAAATGCAAGACCGTCCAACCTTTGGTGTTTTGAGTCACCAAGGTCTTTGTCACTTGTATTCGGTTGCAACTACAACCGAAAATTTTTCAGAAACTAAATTTAGAAAGAAAAAATCAAAATTTTTGGTTTATGGGAAAACACCTATCATACAATTTTCATATATGGAAAAATGCTTATCATAGAGTTTTCATACAATTTTCTGTACGTATGGAATTGTATGAAATTGTATGACAAGAAGTTTCTCATATATGGAAATTGTATGATAAGAAGTTTTGGTCAACCCGGGCTACCTGATCCCTGATCGGGAGTTGTAACTGTATCCCTATCTAGAAATATACTTCCACATATTTGTTCTTTTCATATGATCTCAGCTGACCTTATACACATTGGGCTGATTTCTCTAGCTTACTTCCGTCAGGAGTGTATCATTTTGACCTCAGATTTTAGCATTATGCTGGGCTCATACTCCTTTGAAATTTTTGAATTTAGCTTTTTTTCATAATTGTCACCCTCATCAACTAGCAAAGCAAACATTAAGCACCAAGTGAGTTGACTTGTGATAGCATTTTTTATGATTGCAAATCCAATATCTTATTTTGAAAAAAGTATGCTTTTAGAACGTGACACAAAGTCCGCTTTAAGAAAATTACGATCATATAAAAGCACCAAAAAAAGATCTCTAATTAAGGGAGCATCTTGACAATATTGAATAACCAGGAGATTGAACGATATTGCTAGTAAAGATAGTGAAAATTGCTCTCAGTCAGGATCGGGAATTGCAATTGACAAACATAGCCAAGTGACAGTTGGAAAAGAGCAATGAAAACAAGGAAACTTTAAAAAAAACTGACTTGTTTTTTCAAAAAACTTCAACTTTTGAAATTCGAAGAAAAAAACAGATGGCATTCAAGTTCTTTGAATTCGCAGACTAATTTCTGATGGACACTTTTTTGTTAAAATTAACTCAATTTGAGAAAACTGGATCAATACGTAAAATTTTTATTTCGCTTGAAATCTGATATTTAATTTCCATTTTCGAAATCAGAAGTCGATCACGTTTTTCGCGACTTTTACACTTTTGCTGTTCGATAGTGGAGTTTTCCTTCCTTTTAACAATCGAAATTTACTGAATTTGAAAAGAAACCACAAGTCAAACCGCGAAAAATCAAAATTGAGCGTGAACAAAGCTTAAGACTTTTTCCAGATAAAAAATCGGCAAGACTTATATAAAAGTACTCACTACGTTCATTACTTCTAATAAATGAGACCGCAACTTTCTATACTAGGTTTCCTATACTTATTTTTGCTAGTTAAACTAGGTTCCGTTGAGCCTGGTCTTCTAACTATTTTTTAAGAACTCCGTATTTTGTTTATAATTTTGAACTTTAACGTACTTGGATTTTTATTCCATCCAGTTGGTAGTTACCAACTTGGATGAAAAGTTAAGAAGACCTTCTCTTTTCCTTTTGATTGGAAAACAATACAAGACTGCTCATATCAAGGCAAATTTTCGAAGGTTTCGACAGCCAAATTAAGTCTATGAGAATTGTTTGTCAAAAATTTATTTAAAAAATGCAAGTAATACAAGACAATTCGTATCAGGGCAAATTTTTGAAAATTCTGACAGCCAAATAAAGTCTCTAAAAATTTTTTGGTCAAAAAATGATTTAAAAAATTGAAAAACTAGCACATTTATATATACATATATATTTTATACTTCTTTTCATTTCACCACCCACTCTATCTTAAGAACAACGTGATCAATTGTGAATCTAGTAGCGCATTAAAAAGAGCAAATTGCTTGCCCCAATTCAAATTGGAACGATTTATTTGATTGCTTACGCTTTCATAGCCTGAAGCATATTGCGCGATAATTATCCCAAGTTGGCGAAACTAGCAATTTTCAAAAGTCAGACAACAATGCGTAAAAAAGCGTTGGTATGTAGAATGCGCTTGCTCGGCTGCGCTTACTTCCGGCACGGGAGGAATACTGCGCGTGAATCACAGTTCCACTCTTAATATACTGTTACGAATTGTCACTTATTACGAATTGTCGCTTGTTGCGAATTATCCCCTGTTACGAACGTTAGCCTCACAATTTTCAAACCCCTTATAGTTTTGCAAATTATTATCACAAGTGGAATAATTTTTTTTTGAGAAAAGTTAGAACAAAGCCAATCGAAGATTGGAAAAGAGTAATGAACGCAAGTAAAATAAAAAAACTTTGTTGAAAAAATCTCAACTTTCGAGTTTGAAAGAAAAAATAGATGCTTTCAAGCTGTTTGATTTCCTAATACGACTTATGATTGGCGCTTTTTTGATAGCATTAACCCAAATTGAGAAAATTGGATCAACAGGTAAAGTTTTATTCCGCTGGAAATCTAAAAATTAAACTCCAGTTTTGAAACTAGAAATCGTTCTCAAAAAGTGCATATATATCTAAGTGCATTCATCAACATGTATGAATGCACATCTGTAGTTATTAGAAACTTTTATGCACATCTCAAAACTTGTTCTTGAAAAAAAAGTTCAGCAAGACCTATATAAGAGTCTTCACTACGCTCATTACTCTTAACCAGAAGTTCAATAGTTTTCAGTTGATATGAAAATTTTTTGTGAAAAATGACTATTTCATTGGACTGGAGAGAAAACCATCCGAGCACAACATTTTGTCACTTTCTTCGAAAGTCAGGTCAAACATAGATGATAATTGAAGAGAAGTTAGAGCGCAGACTAGACATTGAAATTGTGGTAAGTTTCCTCTCCAAATATGTGAAGCTAAAATTGTCCGCTCACTAAGTTGCGGGTTAAACTCTCAGTTTTAATGGGCTGTCATCTCTTACTCAGAGCCATGCTGACTTCATCCGATCTAAACCACTTTGTTTAACGAAGATAAATTGCGCGATAGTCACAATTTTACTGTTTTACCGTAATCCGTCAGAAACTTTCTTTTTCTCGAGCCAATTTTTAATATTTATTGCTACTAAAAAATGTTCGGACTTTTTTCACATTTGAGGTAAGAACTTTTTTGGATACAAGAACAGCTACCCAAGTTTTCTGTGTGAACGAATATTTGATATTATCTGTTAGGTTAAGTCCTAAATATTATATCTTGTACACTAACTGCAGCGGTCGTTGTTTGTTGTGAGACTTTTTGTTGCTTCCGTTTCTGCCGCTGCCGTTTTTGTCCCTATTGTGGTTGTGGCGGTCGTCGCGGTGGTGATTACTTCTGCCGTCAAGAGTGGCAATCGGGGTGCTGTTTGATTCGCTGACGACCACCGAGTCACTTAACTTCACACACGAATGGGGCGCCGAAGACTGGTTGTCGTCAGTGTTTCTCCTAACACTGCAAAAAACATGCTTCATAAAAAAGTGCAAGAATTTTAAACGCGATTAACCAATAGGAGCCATGAGTCACTTTTTTAAACAATTTTTGCATTTATGAAATTGAATTTTCAGATGACCTTGAAATAACATATCCTCTGTCCAGAAAACAGAAATCAATAGCAAAAGTAACCGTACAGTAGAAACTGAAATTAAAATTGATTTGAAATTTGACTTGAATTGAGTTAGTGCTGGCAGAAAACGTGTTGGTATTGAAAGCAACTTGAAATTTCACCAGAATATAGCGTTGTTTTTGCAAATTTTAGGGCCCTATTTAATATAGAAACCAAGATAGCCGGTTGCTGTAGAAGTAGCGCAGAACGTTTCATTCACATTTTCCAAAAAAATAATGACAGGAAAGTTGATAAAAAAAACGACTCACGGGTGAAAAGATGTTAATATGATATATTCCACGAACCATTTTGATGATTATTTGTGATTTCTCCTTTTCAATCACAAGAAATCTCAAATAAAGTACATACAGAAAATTACCAAGTTTTTCAAAAGGTGACAAAATGTTTTTAGTTGAAATTCCATTCAAAAATTATTCGCTTTGGAAAACCCCACTTTGCAAAAAGCTAGTCTTCAAAGTAAAAAATTTCTGATTTTGGCTCATCAATGCGAATACTTTTTAAGCCTTTTTCCGATCTTACTCTAGCCCCTAGGGGTGAGCAGGAGCTGAGGTGAAGGGTATGCTTTTTTCAGGCCGAATTTGTTTACCTTAAAGAAATTTCGTAGTGGTTCAAATGTGGTTTGATATTAAAGCTCTTTGAGCTGCTATTCAGATTTTTTTAAAACTTAAAAACAGCTTTCTCAGTTTCAAGAAGAACCTGTCGTTTAAATGAACACTGTAAACCTCTCGTTTAAATGAACACTGTGAAAACTTAAGCAAAGATTTTCAAGTTTTTTTTTTGATTTTTTTAAGTTTTCTTAATACGTTCTAATTTTTTTAATCAATGTGATCGGAACGTTTTGTGCTACTTGCCAATCAACTACATATCTTGCTTGGTTCCAAGAAAAATAATTCTCATACTGAGCTTCGTTGCAGCATTTTAATCAGCAGCTCATACCGCTGAATTCGCGGAACTTCTGATTAATTAGTCAAATTATAGTAAGCGGCATGGTTCGCTGCAATCTAATCAATAACTTATTCCGTTGAATTCCCGGAGCATCAGATTAGGTAGTCCAATTAAATTATTCAGAGCCTCAAAACGTCTAGCTATCTAAATTGAATATGGTACCAAATTGGCCAACCAAATCACACAATAACATTTTTTTTTGCGGTTTTGAATAGCTTTTGTTTGACGAGCAGTTTTTGTCTCAACTCTGTGTATACAATTCAAAAAGGCCGCTTGCAGCACAAAAAAAGACTGCATGTGTCAAAAAAACTTACAGAGCTTTAAATTTTGAAATTGCGATTTTTTTGTTTGATTCACAGCCCCCAAGCCAATATCGTATTCAAATTTGAGTTTTGATGCGGACTATTAGGAATAGACAGCTTCCTTCAATGCAATTTGAAAAACTTTTTAGACCTAAATACTTCGGGGCGCTGAAAAACAGTGCCTGCTTAGGCGTTGTGCAATTTGACAAGCTCTAAAAAACGTGCATAATTTATTAAATATCTGAATACGATGTCAAGAAATCGATATCTACGAACTGGTTTTAAAATTTTTGTTTCGAAGTCATTCTTCTTCTGTAAAAATTGATGTCATTAAACTAAACATGACTGCTCGAATCAGGGCGAAGCCCTGAATGTTCAGACTGCCTTTTAAGGTCTATAGAGCAGTAATAACTCCAGAAGATTAAATGTAAAAACAAACATTTTTTTATTTGAGATTTTTGTAAAAATCATCACCTAACATGCCATATACAGTACAAACTGATCAATTTCGCGCCTAAAAACAAAAAATGACGGCAAATAAGCTTCCTTCAACCAACTTGGAACGATTTCTAAGACGGATTAAATCTCCGCTTACGCGTTAATAGCGCTAAATATATCGCGCGTTAATTGTTCAAAAATGGCCGAAATGGCCATTTTTAAACCCCCATAACTTTACGGAACTTGATCACATGTGAAATGTTTTTTCAAATTTAAGCTCAAGACTACAATACATTTTGAATGATATAAAAAATTCCGTTAAAAAGGGCTAGTTAAAAAGTCGAAATTTGTCTAAAGAAAAAGAAACCACCCCGAGCGCAAATATTCCGTTACTTTCGTTACGAACGCCGGAACAATAATATATACCGCTGAAAATAAAATTTATATAAACAACAGTATAAATTTTTGGTAATCTGTTTATGGAAGATAGAAAAACTATGAACAATAAAAACAAGTTCAAATTCTGCTGCGCAATATTTTTTGGTTTGTGACTGCAGTTTTGCATGCAAAGTTTTCTAGAAATAAAATATCTACTCTTTCGAGTTTAATAATCTGACTGTATGGAACTTTGTATTCGGGTGTGTTTTAGGTTTTTATTTTGCTTTTTTCACACAAAATCAAGTACCACAATTAATTATTGGAATGGTTTGAGTGATATTTCATAATAAAGCCCTTCTATTCGTGATTTCAACTTCTTTAAACAATTTGAAAAAAATTCTCGATTTTAAGAAAACCCGGATAGAAGAAAAGCCGGTTTGAATCTGCTTATAGTAAGCTTATAGTATTAGTCTTTTTAACCAAATTACGCTGTGAAAAATATGTTTTAATTCAATAAAAATACTAATTAATAATTTTTAGCGGATTTTTGGAAAAAAAAATATGTGAAAAATGTTGATTTCTTCTTATTTTTCTTAACTGTTTTTATTTTTTTTCTATGAGAAAGCTTGTTGTTCAATTGACCTAATTTACCATAACTATCGAAATTTCAGACTTTTTTCAAACTCATCCCAACATGAATCACAAATGACGCACATTTTGAAAAAAAAAGTTTTTTGTTCATGGCAGGAGCACTTTGTGCTACTTGCACAGCAGTCGGCTTCTTTGTTTATTTTTTGCGTTTATTGAAGTTCTTTGCAAATCAATTACTTAAAGTTTAATGAGATACAGACCATTTTTGGTAAGAAGGAGTTAAGAAGAAAACTAAATGTTCCCTCACCCTCAAGCAGTGAGCTCGGTTCCAATTTAGACCAGAATAAATTGCCTTTGGGCAATAAGAGTTTGACCGTTTTGAATTTTAATAATTTAGGCTTTTTGAGCTAATCAATCATAAATAGGAAAAAAGCAACGAATGTAAGTAGTTTACCTCAAATCTAGTAGTTTACCTCAAAACTGCAAGCTAACAATCTTAATTAACACCGTAGGCAACTATTTTGGATCTGTTTATTAAAATAGAAATAATGGTTGAATCGTTGAAAGCTGCTTATACGTTAGATTTTATGCTTTGAGCTTGGAATGAAACATTTACTAGAATGATACTTTTTCTACCTTTCTTGTTAAAATCTACTAAAACTTAAGCTTTTATTTTTTTTTAAAGATGATTATTAATATTTTTAGTAACACGCATCCAGTTTCAAGCGTTAATAATCGATTATATCACGATTTTAGTACCAGTTTCACTAAAATTGAGAAACAATCGATTTTAATCAATTAATAATCGATTATAATCACTCTTTTTAAAATCAAATTACAATCAATTATAACCAATGATAATCGATTATAATCGATTATTTATTCGTCTATTTTTCGATACAATTATAATCGATTATAATTGATTATAATCCATTATTTTTATTCATATTTCTATTTCATTAGTTTTGGACAACAATCCATTATAATCGATTATAATTGATTATAATCCCTTTTGTTTGTCCATTTTTGTCTTCGAAGTTGCATCTAAATAGTTTATATTTTATGCTTTTTGTGGACATTGGTTTCTATGAAAAATGAGAAAAATACTTTTAAAGTTTTCCAATTAATTCAAAAATATTAGTTTTTTTTCATTTCTTCCCTATTAGGGTTGTTTTGTGATGCATATTTTAAGCTTTTTTAAACACCAAAACATCAGCAAATTGATTTAGTCTCATGATTGATTCGGAAAATTTATTTTTCATATACCGCGAGAACCTTTCCACTCATATAAAAGGATCTCTATGAAACTTTTGTTTCGTGGTAAAACTTTGTGTTCAGATGAACCAAAGTGTTCAAGAGATCTCTCTTTCAGAGATTTTCTTATTGACACAAAATTAATAACCCATAAGATATAATTCGAATATAGAAACATTTCGGCAAAATAAGATGTTATAATCGATTATAAGCGATTATAATTGATTTTAGGGGTTTTTAATAAGAACTATAATCAATTATAATCGATTATAAGAGATTATAATTTCTTGGAAAATATCACGATTATAATCAATTATAAATCACTTAAGGACCTAATTTTGGTAATTATAATCGATTATAATTGTCAAAAAATCATCATAATAATCCGTTATAATCGATTATTTACGCCTAAACTTGGATGCGGGAAGAACAAACCTGGATAAATTAGGAGTCAGCAAGACTTTTCCGTAGGCTGTTCCGTTTTCGAGCTCAATCGTTAGGGTCCCCTCGGCCATCGTCGTGCTAATCGTCAAATTTCTCCGAGGCAAGTCGGTCGGTGATTGATTTTCACTTTTAGTTCTTCTCCCGTGGATATCCATATCTGAGGTCCCCAATCGGTTTCTCGAATTTGTCGTCTCCTCGTTTCGGGTTGACTTCACTGTCGATTTGTGAAACAAACCTTGTTGACCTTCGTTCATGAACTTTCGTGCCCTGGTATATGTAATCCACCAAATCTGCACGTAGAGAAACACCATGATGATAACAGGGAGATAAAACGCCCAAACAGACGTCGCAAAAGCGGCCACGAAGTCGTCCAAAAACCGAATGAAGCAAGTCCTCGGGCCGCTTCCGATTCCTTCCGTTCTCAAATGGTGTTTAGAGGGGTTGAAAATTGGCCAGAGAACAATTGAGGGCGCCCAGGTGACAAAGGGGACAAGCCAGACGACAGCGATTGCGACTAGGACTCGCCTGGCGGTGCGTTCCGGTCGGTACCGCAGAGGTCGCGAGATGCTGAGATAGCGGTCGAGTGAGATTAGTAGAAGATGAAGGGCGGACGCACCACTTACAGTGTAATCTACACAGAGGTAGAAAGTGCAGAAGTTCTCGTGGAATATCCACGTCTCGTCCTAAACAGAAAAACAAACTGCATAACAGTAGTTCTCAATATAATGCAAAAAAAAGATATCTAAAACTGTTTTTAGACAAACTTTTAAAAGCCAGGCACTTTTTTGAGCTGTAACAGTTCTAATAAAAAGCATTTGTGATGCAGATGTTTTTTAGAAAACTTGTCGAAATGGTAAATATCAGACCCTTGAAATTTTTGATAAAAAACTGGCAATTTAGGCTCTGTACTTAAAAATTGCCTTTTAAGGTTTATGGAAAAACAAAAACTGCCTTTTAAGGTTTATGGAAAAACAAAACAGGTATCATGAAAAAAAGTGTAATAAAAAATGAAAATTTTTTTTTTTTTAATTTAAGATTTGCTGTAAATATTCTCCCCCCACACACCACTTAAAGTACAAAGTGATAAATTTCGCTCCTAGTAACAAATGAACTATGGCAAATAAGCTTCCTTCAACCAATTTGAAACGATTTCTAAGACGGATTAAATCCGCTCAGGCATTAACAGCGCGAAATATATCGCGCGTTAATTGTCCCAAATTGGCCGAAATGGCAATCTTTAAACCCCATAACTTTACGAAAAACAAATCACAGGTAAAATAAAGTTTCAAATTATATTTTTTGAAACAATATTTTTTGAATGATATAAAAAATTCTGTCAAAAGTGGCTGGTTTAAAAGTCGAAATTTGTCTGAAGAAAAAAAAACACCCCGAGCACAAATATTCTGTTACTTTCGTTACAAAAGTCGGAACCACAAAATGTTTAAATTTGAAAGCTGAATAGACATACAAAATTGAGTGCAATAGAAAAACAATATGCCAGACTTCCGAAGAAAGTGATGAAGATTTGTTCTCGTTCAAGGGTTCTTCTTCAGACAATTCCAAATACTTTGAAAAAAAAAAAAAAATTCTGGCAACTTTTTTAGATCCTCCTGAAAACTATCAAAATTTTGAGCTGGAATTTTAAATTAATATTTGACCTTTGATTATTTCAAGCAAAGGCGATTTGTAAATTATCCATTTCAGGCTAAAAACCCGCAAGCAGCTTTTCAATCTTGCCCAAAATTGATTCCAATGTGAATTGAGGCAAGCTTGTTGATCTTACTGATACAATACTAGATGCCCAATTGTTTGTACTATGCATAGCGCGTGGGAGACGATTTTTAAAAAGTGTTGAAAAAAGATTATAAAAACGTCACATAAATTAAAAAATATTATTTTTTTCCGAAGTTTTCATCAATGTTTCAATCTCTAAAACATTTTTATAGACTTTAAAAGGGGCAATCAAAAGGTTCAGGACTTCTTTCCCTTGCAAGAAGCCTCGCTTAGTTTTCAGCTCAAATGTTCGATCTTTCAGATTTGACGAAAACTGTTTTTATTAGAGCCTAAGTTTTTCAGACCGGGAAAAATTATTTGACCTTATTCCTTAAAATGTAAAACAAGAAAAAACTTCACAATCACCAGCTTCAATTTCATGTTTCATATGCAAGAAGGCAGTAAAAAATTGCCAAACACAATCTTTATTTTTTCTGACGTTATTTTTCCAATTTTTTTTCAATCAACTCGATAAAACAATTTTTTT